CCTAGCTGCCCGCAGATTCTTTCCTGATCTCGACCCCGTCACCTCCAACCTCTCCTTGTGGTAATCGCACAAAATCAGCACTGGTGCATGAGGGTAACAAGTAAATTTAGGTCGGAAATTTAATCCAGCTCTTCATACTAGGAAAAAGCTTTGGCCAGTCTGAAAGTTAGAAAATGTTTCTCTCCTCCCTTTTGCCTTCATTTCCTCTCCCTCCATGTTTTTTCTTCCTGTGACAGGAGCTTGTCACGGGAAGTGACTGGAAAAACACTGATGCTTCTGCCAGGGATACTCTAGATTTGACATATAATCTGGAACTCTGAGGGTTTTAGTGTTATACATATTAAATTTGATTGCGCCACACTATTAAGTTGATCCATTCTGAGAAATTTTTAATTTTTCCCGAGATGGCAATTGTCACACCAGTGGAAATATGCTAGACGGCTCGTCCCTTGTGAGAACTAATGAGATAATGCTTGTGTCAATGATCAGACAGCCTCACTCAGGAGGTGCTGTATAAATAAGACGTCTAATCACACTCAGAGACAGAACCCACCCATGGCCTGCCTGTGATATTTACCCGATCAAGAAGTACTCATTTCACATTCTTTAAAAAGCAGAGAAGGATGGGCTTGCCCCAAGGAACTCTTCCTTTCTGTAAAGTTGTTTGATAAAAGTAAAATATTAGTGCACTGACTGTTCTCCTTATTGTAAAGCACTTATAAAACCATTTTCACCTTTTGAGGGTTAAAATTAGAACTGAGTCAGTTATGAAATTCCTGGAAGGAAAATGCACCCCTCCCCAATATCATAAGTCTAAATGCAGGATTCAAATTCTTCAGAGAAAGGAAATAATTAAAGAAGGAGTCTCTCAGAAGAGCTTTCAAGGAGGTAGAATTCAGGGGCCAGTAGCACCTACTGAAAGGGAAAGAAGAAAACTTCTGGAAAACCAGAATAGTGAAGGAAGTCGAGGGAGTGGCCATTTGGCAGGTTTTGAAATTTCAGGGGAACAATAAGCAAGAAATAGAGGGTGGGAGCGATGGGGAGTGGGAGGAGGTGGGAGACACAGGGGGGGATCCAGGCCTGATGCAGAGCCTGCCAGGGAAGGGGTAGGCGTGTAGAGAGAGCGGAAGGGAGGAGTAAGGAAATAACTCTAAAATGAAAAAAAAAGGTAACTTGTGCAAAGCTAGAGAGGTGAGCAGCAGTCTACCCGGTAAGAGGCCTTTGTGACTGGAATAAGAAATCTTGGTAGTTGGTTTATTTTGTCTGATTTTGCAGTTAACAGGAAGCATGGTGGGATGCTGGTCTCCAAAGTACCAGACAGACTTGGAGCCAATGAAATAGTGGCGCTTGCAGGACACAGAACCACTCCAGTTCTTCTCAGGCTGGATTCATGCAGGGGCCCGTAAACAAGGACGTGACACTGAGGAATGCTGCTGCTTTTCCAACTGCTAAATTGGGGCCAGTGAAAAGCAAGGGCTGTGTTTGTTGGCTTGAATTTCTAGAGACTTTTCTTACTGGGTTATAAAAATGATTTCCTCAAAAAACTTGCAAATGGCAGATGATGAATTAGGAAAGCAGTAATGTCCGCCTGTGGGAGTCATTTCAAAGCTGTCGGCTGTATTGTGCCATCCGTTTGATGGGAGGCCAGTGGAACTTTTGGTGAATGGTTATTGGAGGAGCAGAGAGCCATCACCCCCTCCCAATGAAGCTGGACCTAATTTCTGGGGGGTTCACTCATTAACAAGTCTGATGGTAAGCAGGCTCCCTGAAGAATTTCAGGCTGAGAGTTTTTATAGGCAGAAATGGTTTAAATTATTTGACTCACTCCACTATAGCTTTGACTTGGTGATCAAGCTGATAACCCTAGAAGTTCAGGAGCCATTACTTGACATTCCTATCATTGCCCTCTATCCCCATATGCTTTGGGGTTGCCCCCTTTGTGCATGTGGTTAGGGCCCTGGGGGAGGGGAGGTGTGTTCGTTATGTTTCTCAGCAGTGGACGTTTAGCTGGCTTGTTTCAACATGTGTAAGGGTTAATCAGGTAAATTATAATTGCCGTTGGGAGAGGCAGCCTCGGTGAAGTCTGACACAGCCCTCAGGGTTGCTGGGGAAAGGGTCATTCTTAACAATCCTTAATTATTTTCCTCTCTTGCTCAAAGATGAGTTTTTAATCTAACATCATGGTATTAGACCAGTTAATGAAGTTTACATTCCTGATCTATATTTTAGTCCTCTTCAGTCTTGTTTCATTAAAATTCTCAGGCGGCCCTTCCTTTAAAATATAATTAGGCCAAATTAAAAGAAAAAAGGAACAAATTGATTTTGTTGTTGTTGCTTAGTTCCTTGAGACGTTCTACAGTCTTCAGGCATTTTTGTAAATGAAGATGTGAAATGTCACTTGGACTATTTAATCTCGAGGGTGGGAGTGAGGGAACTGTTATATTTGGTTGTGGGGCTAGAATGTCACAGAAAGTACCAGCACATAGTCTCTTAGAGTAATTTTGTCTGTTGTTTTCTTTTTTTTTCCATGGCACCACCTATCCCTTTTCTGTGAAATAGTCAAACCTGTTTTCATTGTATATCTTTTAAAGGTTCAGTAGTCAGATTTTTTCTTTTTAATGTTTGATGCTCTTTTTTATTCCATGAATGACTCAATTGACTACATGTAGGCAGCTACTAAACTTGGCAGTTTGTTGCCATCATCGTGCCCCTGGACAGGAAGTGTTCAGTATAGATATGACTAACCAGTTTCCAGGCTTAAAAATAAAGAGGGGGATTTCTGGACAGAATAGGTCTTTGTCACTCATTCCAGCATGCCTGATAAGTATGAAGCTCAAAGCCAGCTACTTTGCTTTCTCATTTTTTCCAAGCCATCACTTCACCTGACATTTTCTATTACACAGATTGAAACTTATTTTATGGTGTTGGTGTTTTGTGTGTTTTTTTTTAATTAAATAAGAGGATATTTGAATAGTCGTGAGAATCAGCTAGAGTCAGTATTCTCTTTGTGTTGCCTCTTTTATTGTTAGCTCCTTTAAAAAAAATCACCCTCCTGGGGTAGGTAATGGGGAACTAATCTTCACCTGCCTATGTAGCAGCTTAAACCAAAGGTCGGGAGCATGTGCCTGGACAGCTGTATGTGCTGTGTGACTTGTCTTCTTGAATCTAAGCCTGCTGGAAGTAGCAATTTTCCCCCCCAAAGTCCATTCCAATCAATCTGGTGTTTCTTGCATTTCTTTTGTCAGGTAGCCCCTTAGAAACCTGGGAAGAATTGTATTATTTTGACAGATCCCAGAAGGTTTTTCTGGCATCTTGTTGCCTATGGCTATTGTTTTAGTGCTTTAAAGATAACTTGATGTTTTAGTTTTTCTTGCTGTCTCCCTAAACAATGTAATTTCTTTTTCTTCTTTTTTTTTTTTTTAAAGATTTTATTTTTTCCTTTTTCTCCCCAAAGCCCCCCAGTACATAGTTGTATATTCTTCGTTGTGGGTCCTTCTAGTTGTAGCATTTGGGATGCTGCCTCAGCGTGGTTTGATGAGCAGTGCCATGTCCGTGCCCAGGATTCGAACCAACGAAACACTGGGCCGCCTGCAGCGGAGCGCACGGACTTAACCACTCGGCCACGGGGCCAGCCCCAACAATGTAATTTCTCAACCCTTAATAAAAATATTTTTGTCTCTCCTTTTTATTCTAAGGAGCGTTTTTTTTTTTTTTTGGTCTTAGGGATTTAAGAAGTCTTAACACTACATTTTGAGGGAATGCCGACTTAGACACAGCATTTATTAGATGAGAGTGGCTCTAACAACGAAAAAGGTGTTTCTTTTTCTGAATCCGTAACTCTGTGCAAGTGTTAGTCTCTGAGCTTCTATTTGTTTTTCAAATAAGAAACTGTGCTGGAGAATGATGATTTCAAAATACAAAATGCATGCAAATATTTTTAGTTTGGGTTAGGGTAAAGTCAGTAATGATTCTTTGGGACAACTAAGCTTCATTTGCCAAATTTAGAAATAAATCATAAATTTATAAAGAATGGGGTCATGGTTACCATACGTGGGTCAAACCCTATACCTATTCTAGTAGGATGCTTTCAGGGGAGAAAGGAGACTGTTTATACAAGCCAAACTTTCGTTGAATGAAATGATTCCCTGATCTAAAATGTTAATTTCCTTGACCTTTGTAGTGATGAAGACTCTTGCAGTGGTGAGACTCTTCTAGTTTTTATGATAATGGGCACATTGTAGGCAGACAGAAAGTGCTTGATAACCAATGAAATGTGAGGGTAGACATGGTCCAGAGGGTAAAAAATTTTGCAGAATTTAAATGTTTGCTGTTTTCATGAGATTCATGGATCATCCAACATTGATGATGATCCAACACCTGGCGTTGATGTCTGGTTTTTAGGTACAGGAGGGCGTTGTAACTCGGTAGGTAGTTGTACCATCCATAGTACCAGCAGTCAGCTAAAACCAAGATGGCTCTTCAGAATGCTGTGCATATGGGGGCATTTAAGAAGGCCTGGTAGGACCTTCTTGCTGGTGCCCTTTGAAGCCATGTGGTTGATATTTAGTGTCCTAGCTGGTGTTTTGAATCACAGGGGTCAGGCCTAAGCTGAGTGCAGAGCCATGGGAGAGCTTTAGCCAGACCAGGTCTGTCCAGGCTGCTGGAGTAGTAACAGGGTAACTTATTACTCTGTTGAAAGGTGATGGAAGCTGGAGAGTTGTCTTTCAAATTTGGGTCAGATGGGCTTTATCGTCAAAAACTCTTCTGGCACATCTTGTGGGCAATGGAAAAGGAAGCTTTTTAGGCAAGCTGTGTGTTTGAAATGCCTGCTTTATTTTTTTTTTCTTTAGCTTTTTTGTTTCTTTTGCCACAAGAGCATCTCTCCGTTTCCGTTCCTTGGAGTTGTACATCTGTGGCATTCTTCCTGGGTTTCAGCCACTGGGACGTGCATCACCTCAGAGACACTTATTACTAGTAAGTCTAGTTTAAAGTAAAAAGCAGTGCTCACTTCAGCAGCACATATACTGAAATTGGAATGATACAGAGAAGATTGGCATGGCCCCTCCGCAAGGATGACATGCAAATTCAGGGCCAGCCCCGTGCCTGAGTGGTTAAATTTTCACACTCTGCTTTGGCGGCCTGAGGTTCGCTGGTTTGGATCCTGGGCGCAGACCTACACACCACTCATCAAGCCATGCTGTGGCAGCATTCCACATAGAAGAATTAGAATGACTTACAACTAGGATATACAACCATGTACTGGGACTTTGGGGGAAAAAAAATAGAAGAAGAACATTGACAACAGATGTTCACTCAGGGCCGGTTTTCCTCACCAAAAAAAAAAAGCAAAAGGAAAAAAACCACAATTTTTACAAGACAGATTAGAGAAGAGAAAGCTGTTACTTGATTAGGAGACAGAGAAACAGTGGGTGAATCTGAATGTAAAACTCTTTGGGCTGAGTAAAAGAGGGCTTTAAATTTGATTTAATGTTTTTAATAACTAAAATCCCAGCTTTCATTTGTTAGTTTATTTGTAGAAGATGAGAGATGGACTTTATCAGACTTTGACAGCAAATTAAAGGCCTCAACCCTGCTTAACCATGAACATATGTGCCCTGAAGTTCTATCAAATGATGGGTGATAAAGGCAAGCTGCTGCTCACAATGATATGAATTGTGCCTGAAAAGAAAATCTTGCCTCTAAGACCAAAAGGGTCCAAAGTGCTGGCCTTTTTAGGCTTGGCCACTATTTTGCATTGAGCCCAGAGACAGAAGAATAGCTGTCACTGAGACCTCAACTGACCCAACACCACCCTCCAGCCAGAGTTGCAGGCATCTTCTCAGCTACCCCTAAGGATTTAAAAATACGTATATTAAAATGTTTCAGATTCTTTACCCTCCATCAGAATGCAGTGAGCCATAAGTCAGCTCAAGAAAAGGTGACCCAACCCCTGACCCCTCGATACTTTATTAGATGCCATTAAAACCTTGGAGAAGTGGGAGATTATTAAGGCTACACTTGGACCTGGAATCTTAATCCAAGAATTCTACATTTTTTTGGCTGTATCTAAGATTGTTCTGTTTTGTGATAATTCAAATTTAACAGAAGAAAAATATTCATAGATGCTGGACACTTGCTATTCAAGAATTAAACTCCTTTTGATGTTAGCTAGAGTCTAAACATTCATTTAAACATGGTTCTTAAGTTTTGGTGGGGGCAGTACGGTATATGGTTTTATTTTGTTCTATAGGATGTAGTAAAAAAAGATTTTATTTTATTCCTCAACAGGGAAAATATGGCAGAATTCATTTTGGGTATTTGCTATAGAATGTTCCCTGCATTGGAATGTGGGTGGAGTTCCGGCATTTGTGTATTTGTATGTTTCCGGGAAATAAAGGTACAGAGAAGCACTTGTTCGTTGCCTATATAAAGACTAACTGTACAGCTGACTGCTTAAAAATACTGTATGAGACAACATTTCACATCCAACAGTAGCATCTGTTTCCTTCATTCCAAGATTAACAAATGGCATTAAAGATAGATGCTGAAAACATTAAGAGAAAAAGCCCTTCTTTTTGGCAAATCCATTAATTCCCCTCACAATCCTTTTCCAGGCAGGAGTAGACCGAATAGCATAAATGGAAAATTAACAGGAGGAAACTGTTTGGTTAAGGTAGATTCAATTTTCAGATTTAGAAATGACTCAAATCACACATTCTAAAGACTTGACTCATCTTTTTCCTAGGCAAGTACTCTTTATAATAGACGTTGTCTCACATCTTGGCGATAAATTTAGTATTATTTGTCTAAGATATCTTCTGCCTTTGAAGCAATGACAATACTAGAAATCACATGAAGAAGAACATTTCAATAACGTAGGTTATCTTTCTCCATAGAACAAATATTTTAATTGGAGCTTCTGTTATTTATCAAGAACTTAATGTAAAATAACTGCTAGATATGATCAGTAATATTTCCCAAGAAGAAAAATTTGACCATAATCCTTGCTAATCATTTGACTCCATAAAATTATATTCCTAGCCTTATAAGACGAGCATCAACAGGTGATTTGTGCAGATCTTATAAGCCCTCCAGTCTTTTAGAAAATAATCTAGATTCCATAACAGTACAAATTGACCATCATAAATTGTCTCCTAATATATTTTTTAAATGTTGTGTTAGTTAACACTGCTTTTATTTGCTTATGGAGATCTTTGTTCTATGTCTGTTTACCAAGTTGACCCTGGTAGTGTGAATCAGTTCTTCCTGGGCCTGAATGATTCCTGGAGTCATCATAGAAAGTGCTCAACCCCTTTGTCCACTCCAGAGACAAAGCCTAGACCACACCCCTCCCTTCCCAGACTGCTAGGCACACTTATTTCCCTTTAAAAAAAAAACTGTCCTAAATAGAGGAGCTCTTACTTAGCACACCAAGAATGACTTCCCAGTAGTAATTGTATTTATTGCTTTATAATACTCCAAAATGTAAGAAAGAGCAAAGAAATGCAGAGTTTTATCCCTGTGCCTTTCACCATTGTGAGCACTTTATGTACTAGGATATGTTTAAGTTCATTTAGAAACTGGTTTGGAATTTTTAAAAGTCACTTCAAAACTCTCCTCACCAGGAATATCAAACAGGCATATGCCAGGAATCTGACGAGATGTAAGTTAATGCCAGAAGTCTTCACCAGAGAAAGATAAGCTACGTGGAAGACCTGTCTCTGTCCTGAGCAGTTTTCAGTCTAGAGGAGCTATCAGACATGCACTTAAGGAAGTACATGTGAGGGGAATGCCACCTCTGGGTTGGGTTCAAGAAGGGCTATCTGTGGCTGAGATACTTGAGGCAAAACTGTTGAGGTGGATGGCATTGGCAGGAAGCTTTGGAAGGGAGGGGCGTGTGGTTGTTTCCCAAAGTATGGTACGTGTACCACTGGTGGTGGTACAGGAATGATTTTAGGAGGGCCCAGGCATAGTGTTAAATCATCTTCAGTCACTTTATGAGAAGATTAGTCCCTTTGCAGTTCCCTTGGAGTATTTTGCATCATTCATGGAGAATGTCTGTGTCTGAGGCTGTGTGACCTTTGCCTCCTTACTCACATTGACTCACCTTCTTTTATACCATGCAGGTGGACATGGGGCTCATGGCCTTTGGCAGGCAACAATTTCTGGCTAGAAACAAACAATATTGGAAATTTGTTTCATTGAATTAATCTTTATGGTTTAACATTTTTTTAATAATTGTTATGGTTATGATACTTAGGGGAATAGTACCAGTTTCCATTCACACAGTATATATGGTTTCCTTTTAAAATAAATTAATTTTTTAATAAAAATATACTAAGTAACCATAGGGAAGTAAAACACAGGTAGTAAGTAAAAAACAAAGGCAAGTTGTGACGGTGGTTCTCAGAGGACAGGGGTTTAGGATGTTACTCAGGTAGATACAGGATGGCTTTTTGGGTGAAGAAAAGGATTTCAGCAAGGATCTTAGGGTGGAAAATGTAAAGCATTTTGTGAGAAAAGTGAATAAAGAAGTTGATGGAAACCTAGAGATCTGTTGGCTGGTCAGAGCTGGGAAGCCGTCTCGCCCAGCTTGATTGCCAGCTAGGGGAGTGGAGGGCTGTTAGCCCCATGGAATCCCTGCTGGAGCCCCACCCAGGCTCTCTGAAAAGTGATTCAGAGTGGTTTGAGCCCCTGATCGTTTAAGGCAGAGGTGGCTAACTCATATGCCTTGGGTAATTTCCTGGCCCGTAGGCAGGTGGCCAGGTGTTAAATTGGAGAGGGTGAGTTTCTCCCCCCTCCTCCACCCCCAGGAGTTGCCAGAAGTTCATATTTTTCTTGAGAAGCTGGAAATAAGAATTTTTATGTCACTGCTCCCAACTTTTACTTGTTTTTTTAGTAATTACAAAAAAATTAAAACGTTATGAAGGCCCATTTTTGAGATGATGAAGATGTTCTAGAATAAGATGATGATGATGGTTGCACAACATTATACATATAATGAAAATCACTGAATTGTACACTTTTAAAATGGTTACAATGGTGAATTTTATGTTTTATGAATTTTCTTTAAGAAAAACTTTTAAAGAATTTTGAAAAGAAAAATATATTATGGGGGCCCAACCAAAACGTGTTACCAGCCAAAAGTTTATAAGCTCTGTTTTGAATGGGGGAATTGCTATTTGCTACTTTTGATAACCCCAACATAAAGCACCTTTCCACAGGGGTGCCAGTGACCAGGAGTTACTAGGGGTCGCACTGTGCCCCTGCATTAACCTCAGCCTCTGTTTTCCTGCCTGTGGTCTCCATGGCTTCTTCTATCTCTAAAAATAGGACTGGTGATAGAAATGGTGGGAGGTGGAATGGTGGCCTTAATTCTAGAGCTCTGAGTGAGTGACTGAGAAGACACAGCTACAAAAAGGTAGGGGCTGCCAAAGTATTTTAGAGAAATGATTTATTTTGTTATTTGGCAACTAGTTGTAAAATGATCGGTTATGTTATTTGCCAAAGTTTATTTTACCCAAATGTCTACCATTAGGGAAGTAATCCATCTCCAAGACAGCCAGTTAATATATTTAGGCAAACATTTTTTAGTTCTTACAAGAGAACAACTATAATGGTCTTTTTAGTTATTTTCTCTAACTGAAAAATGAGTTTAATATACCAAGTATGTGTCATCAGCATCAAAGGATTATAATTATTTTAGCAAAACTATTTGTCTTCATGGTTTTGGGGGCTTTATTATTTTTAATTCTAAATATAATTTTAAGTTAGCCAATTTCAATAAGGGCAAAATATAAAATCTAAGATTTTACATTATATCCCAGCTTAATCTTTAACTGTTTCTTTCTTAACAAACTAGCAAAGAAAGGTAGAGTTTATGCCTTTTAAAATTTCCATTTTTTTAGAATTAGTCCTAAAAAATACGCCTTCATTGTTTTTTAGGTTTCTTTTTTAAAAAAATATTTTATTGAGGTCAGATTGGTTTATAATATTGTGTAATTTCAGGTTACGTTATTGTATATCAGTTCCTGTGCAGACTACATTATGCTCACCACCAATAGTCTAGTTTTTATCCATCACATATGTATATGCCCCTTTACCCGT